CCTGGTAGCTGTTCTTGATGAGGCACTTCCGGAACAGCTGGTGCATGGAGAAGTGGCAGCTCCTTCCAACAGTGACTGTGAAAGGTGGAGGCGGCGTGGCGTAGTCGACCGGCCACATGTCAAAAACTTCTTAAGATGAAGTGGTAGCGGCGTCCTGCTTGTGTACAGTATTAACACAATGACGGTTACTTGACGACGGTGAACAGCATGCCGAGAACGAACGTGCCTGGGTAGGGCTGTTGCTTTGGGCTTGGCTGTCCCTTCCTCTCGGATTGCACACCTTCGCCAAATGACCTTTTTTGTGGCAGTAATTGCACATTGTCTTCGCATACTTGCATTTTTATGCAAGATGTCCGTCCCCGCAGCGGTAGCAGGTGACGCCCCCAGAACTTGACGAGACACTGTGAGTCGAGAAAGCGCTGCTTGCGTTTGCTTGCGCTATCTCACCTGCGTCCTTTTTTGCTGCTTTCATTGCCAGGGCGGTCTGCGCGGCGTCGTTGAAGGTGAGGTCCGGTTTTTCCAGAAGTCTTGTCTGGACATCCACGTTGTTTATGCCACACGTGACGCGGTTGCGGAGCATGTTTTCGAGTTCAGCCACGAAGTTGCAGGGCTCGGACAGGCTTTTTAGTGCTGCGATGAAATTGCTGATGGATTCCCCTTCCAAGAGAACGCGCATGTTGAAACGAAAACACTGCATGATGGCAGAAGGCTTCGGACAGTAATGGCTTCCAAGAACTTGAAGAATCTCGTCCAGCATATTGTCACTGGGCTTGGCGGGCTTGACCAAATTCTGAAACAAAGCATATGTTTTCTGCCCGCAGCAGCTGATGAACACGGCAGTACGCTTGTCTTGGGCGACATTATTCGCCTGGAAAAATGCTTGGAGCCGGTCCACGTAACAGGGCCAGTTGTCTCCTCCCCGCTTGAACGGCTCGAGGTTGCCTTGGCATGGTGAACAGATGGCAGAGCGGTGCGGGAACGAAGACTTACATGAAACTTCCTTTCATCCTAGTCGCCAGTTGTTACATGTGTAGATTAACGAATGGCGGGGCGGTAGTGACTACCGGGAACAGTAGGCCATCAGGCCCGCGAAGAACATGAGAACATGTTGATCCCTTTGCCCAGATTGAACTGTGTTTATTTTTTCTAAAACAGCCACCCACCGCTGTTCCAGGCTTGCACAGCTCAACACAACTATCAGCGTGGCGTGGGGGCACTGCATTTGAGCTAACATTGTTCGAATTAATGAAAGGTAAATAAACGGAGGGCTGTTCATGCAGGGGTGCATGTGCATTGAGCTAACACACTAGGGGGAAGTTTAAGAAGACTTACATTTATTCACAAATCACAGGACATCCGTTATTAATTGAAGTAATCCGTGATGTGCGTCTGCACACGTTTCCCTTGCAGCGAGTCAATCAATTTCGCATGCAGCTTGCAAAGCATTTCCACTTCGACTTCAGCATTTTTCTGGCAAGAGAAGTTGCGCACGAAAATGTCCAGAGCCGACACTTTCTAAAAACGACGATAACAATGACTGCTGCGTAGCAGAGCCTCCCGCTCTCCGCTACGCAGCCGCAGCATGGCCAGCACATGAGAAAGGAGGAGCGTTTCCACGTGGAGACAAGCAGATCGGTAGTTCAGAGAGAACGAACCCTCCACGGCAGCTTTTTTTTTTTTTTTTTTTGCTCTATTCGCACGTGTTGTTGAAAGAAGCGTTTCGGGGCAAGCAAGGGAAGGGGGGAAGCGCAGCACCGGCGCAGGAGAAGACCCCCCCCCCCCTTCAAGGCGCAGAGCCGTGCTCTCACAAGGGGCAAGGGCTGCAGAACATAGTGCCCTTTTCCTTTCCTTCTGTCACCCATTCATTCAACCCAGCGACGGCTTTCTTTTCTTTTTTTCCTCTTTCTCTCTTTCCTCTTTTCTTTTTTACTCTTTTTTTCCTCTCTCTCTCTTTGCACACTGCATTGGAAGTAGGAGGGTCTTTACATAACAGGGACGGAAAAAGGAGATCGGCATTTGAGATCGCAGATCGGCATTCGAGAGAAAGCAAAAATTCCACCGCAGCCTTTTCATTCTTTTTCATTTCCTTCGCGGGCAGCGTTGAGGAGTCACAGGTGCTGCGGCGGGATTGGGTGAGGTGCTGAGAGCATTTCGGAACGCGGTATGTTTGAATAAACCGTCAGAAGTGCTTGGGCGTTCGAATTACCGGGCGTTTTCACCCATTGAAATACACATAGCTTTGAGACCTCATCATGAGTTCGAATTAACCGGAAGTTCGAATAAAGTGTGTTCAAAATAATGAGATTCGACTGTATGTGCTTACATGTGTTAGCAACAGACATCAGTGTTATTCCCATTGAAAATAAAATGAAATTTCTTTGTTACTTGAATATTTTTGCAAAAGTTTTTAGGGAAACATGAATGTGACATCGGGTCTGTATAAACTGCCAGCGTAAATTAGTAGAAATTATGCACAGGCTGTTTCTCATTTATGGTAAATGGGGAAAAGTTCTGAGCACATGGTGTCACGATGCGTCAAGCACTGCATTCACATGCTGGCAGCAGCTCCTGCAGGAGCATATGCTCGAAGGACATAGTGGTGAACTTTGTCATCTGCTATTTCAACGTGCATTGGCTGCATTTTCGGGAAATGTGGGTCTTTCAAGGATTGAGCACGTTGTGCGCATATTCTGGTGCCTCTTGTTGCTGCGTATGATGGTAGCACACACAAAGTGAAGGAATATAGTGCACACTGCAAAACTCTGGCTTTCCGGGTGAACAAATGAAGCATGCTGTCACAAAGGTTTCTAGAAGCATACTTTTGCAAAAGAAGACACGGAAATCGGCATAACAAAGGGTTTAGAGATACTGATTGGCTTAATTTCTCTGTGCACTGCTCCTGAGCTTTCAGAAAATGCAGCCAGCACACGCCATAATAGCAGACGACACGGTTCAAGATTATGTTCTCAAGTCTCTGTGCATGTGCGAGCTGCTACGGCCGTGAAACCGCCATGTGATCCTAGTTTTCCACTATCTGTGAAACGGCCTGTACAGTCGAGCCCACATATAACGGCCCCACCTAAAATGAACTTTTGCTTAAAACGAACAATATCTGCGTGATCATGAAAATATATATTGGTTCAATGGCACAAAATCTCACAACAAAGGTTTCCGAGCGCCGCTAATCGGTTATAGCGAACGGAGTTGGCGCTCTGCCGACTTCCCGGGAAACCACTTTCTACCACGGATCAGGCATCAGCGAGGTGCCCATACATTCTTATTGCTAAACGCCGACCCTGCCTGTGTGCCCCTCTTGTTGCAGCTCTCCCCGACCGCTTTTTGTTACGCACCCCTTCGTCCTTTGTCACCTTGCTATTCAGCACCCCGCATTGCCTGGCGAGGTTAGTGTTTCACACTGCCACCGTTATTTCGAAGACCGATCGGCTATCTACCCTGTTTTTGATTGCTGGTACTGTCGTTGGCGTCGCCGGCCTGGAGTGACCAAACCATTACCAACATCGTCGGCCACCAACTGTATCCAATCGACCGTGTCTAGTGCACACGCGTACGCTACCGCACCGACTATGATAATTTTCGATTCGTTTCGTGTTAGGACTTGTTCTCGCTCACTTCGCACTCGGCTCGGCATGCTCTCCGCACGCGTGCGGAAGCTCGAAAACGGCTGTTAATTTGCACGAATCAAGTCGCAAATTATCGAAGTTGGTGAGGCCTCGCGAATCTGCCGGCACAGGTTTCAAGTTAAAAAACTCTTTCAAGTTTTTCTATGTGCGAGTTGCACACTTCGCAGGCCTTTCAAGCAAGCTACCAAACCTGCCTTCTTCCCGTGTGTTTTGGTTTTCAAGGTCGCCCTCCCGCAGCCACCTCCCTTCTCTATCGCAACTCCTTGCCCTTCTCTCGCAAATCTGCTCTCCTCTCTTGATCACAACCTCTTTGCTCGTCTCCACCGCCCTGCGACGCCAGCCACGCTTGCTCGAATTAGTTTCGTTTTCCGACTGCTTGGCTTGAGTGTAATCGGCGCGTTAGGTGCCGCGTTGCGGAGTGTTTGCTCATAGGTGTTGACCACCTGGCAGCCTGGCAGCCAACTTGCTGCTTCAGGGGCCCCGGTATTCAGGTGTGGAGATGGTGAATATTTCGTGGGCGACAGTGACGGCTGAATATGCGCGAAACTGTTTTCGCGAGGCCGACTTCATCGACATCACGCCCGATGCCGAGCCTGAAGCTTCTGAACAAGATCACTCCGGCAGCGATTTGTGACAGCGCGTCGTCGACTCAAACTTGGGAGAGTGGGTGGGACATCTGTTGCGTTGGTTTAGTTACGGCAAATGATGATGCCGACACTGCGGAACCGTGCACAGATTAGGGCATTGTGAATAAAGTGGGTAACAAGAGCGATTTGGAGGAATCGGATAACGAGAACGACAATACTTTGGAGCCGGTGCTTCATGCAGCTTTGCCAAGGGCCTCGGCGAACGAGCACCCTGCTGTTTTAAATGAACTCGAGACCGCCCTTATCGCTTCTTTTTGAAACACGTGCAGCACGGATTTTTTGGGCAAAAGAAGTTTGTGTTTTCACTCGCAACTTTTTTAAAAGCTGTGTTTCATTTACCATGAACTTCAGGATAGAGCAAATGGATCCCGCGTCAGGCTCCGGTTCGTTATAAGCGAGCTTGAATGTATATCTATCTGTGAAAACATAGAAGTGTGAGGTACACATACATTTACTTGATTCAATAAGGTTGTGTGCTGGGGTAGTTTGTGACTGGCTAGTTGGTGATTGACAGTTGGTGACCATATTGTGTTTGAATCAAATGTTTCAAATGTTTACTCTGACTACTAGTTTTAGGGAAGTGTTGTTATACTGGGTGATCTGAGTTTTGCATCATTTACCTTAAGTTCTGCCTCATTTACCTAACTAAAATCAGCTTGAAAAGTTTTCTTTCTATGCTTTGTGCCATTACAGAAATGTCTTATCTGTGCAGGTGCAAGTCCAAACGTATCTGCGGGTGCCAGGCTTCTTCAGTGGTGTGGGGCTTGTCTTTGTTGCTGCTATGTTTGGCCTGATGAGCATGTTCAGCTGTGGTCGCTGGCTTCTTGAGAAGGTGAGCCCACTGTATATGCACTATGAAGCAACCTGTGTGTCCCTGTTTATTCCTTTATAGCATATCTGGGACGTTAAACCCCACAAATCGCCCCGCCGCGGTGGTCTAGTGGCTAAGGTACTCGGCTGCTGACCCGCAGGACGCGGGTTCGAATCCCGGCTGCGGCGGCTGCATTTCCGATGGAGGCGGAAATGTTGTAGGCCCGTGTGCTCAGATTTGGGTGCACGTTAAAGAACCCCAGGTGGTCTAAATTTCCGGAGCCCTCCACTACGGCGTCTCTCATAATCATATAGTGGTTTTGGGACGTTAAACCCCACATATCAATCAATCAAACCCCACAAATCAATCAATCCTTTATAGCATAAGCTTTTATGAGCAGCAGCCGATTTGATGGCTGGGCGATGTCGTTTTCTAACAATGTCTCTTGCAGCTATTATGCACAGTGTAAAAAAAATAAGATAAATAAATCATGGCTCGAAGCGCATCCAGGTATTCTGGGTAGAGGTCAAACACTCCACCACTTCACCATGCCAACGCTTCAAACTTCCTCAGAAAAAGACACCTTGGAGATGTCATGTAGGGTGTAAAGTCACTTTCATCTAATATTACATGGCAGACGCGGAGAATAGTGCCGGGCGTCACACCATGTGAATTGATAAAATGGTGGGTAGTTTAAAGCTATCCTTCTATCACAGCCATAAGCAACCATCATTGTTGTTGACTAAAGTAGCAGCGTCAACCAAGTGTGCTCTACATAGGTTGTTGCACACAGTGCCTGCCGTATGGATGCATAGTGATACGTCCCTTGTTTGCGGAATGGTCCATGCTTTGGTGCAGTGGAACCATACTTTTCCACTTGTCTCCCTTCAGACTTGGGCTTTAGGGAGGCAAAAGCGGTAAAACTCTAAAAAAAAATTCTGCTTGCTTCGCCACCTGAGCGCACTCAAAACTGGTCATCGATCCCGATAGGTTTTGGCAATGTTACGACAGCACAGCACTTTTGTACAACGGCAAAATACGTACCTTGAGTGGAAGGCGCACCAGTCATGTGCAGCAGTACCCATGCACCGTACCGTAGCCTGGTGTAGGCAGATATACGGCACATGGGATTACAGTCTCTATATATCTAGTTGAGTTTGGCAATATAAGTGCAACAGCTTGAAGAAGCCTGTGTATCAGGAAATGGGATGCCTGCCTCAGCAATGGCGAAATGTCCTGATTGACATAGAAGCACAGCATTCTGCAAGCTGCGCCAGTGCTTCAGAAAAAGGCTGTATACAAGCATCATGTCAGGTCAATGCCAATTGTGGTTGCATTGTTGGCTATGCATTTTATATCAATGCGATAAACATTAGACATGTTCACCTATATAGTAGAATATCGATGATACGATTACGAGTGACGCAAATTTGGCGATGACACGAATTTTAAAGTTGATTCGGATGGACTACATTATATAAAATACGCCGTGATTCGGTGTTATCGGAACTGGTTCCCCAGGCATCGCGGATGATATGAACGCCCGATCAACAGCTGCATGCGAGCGGCACAACGCGGCTTGCCTGTAGGAGGAAGGCCCATTCACACTTGTTCTTTAAGAGAGCAAATGGGGCAAAATTTACCGTAGTTTTTCTTGCTTTGCCGCCAGAAAAGTCGCCGGAAAACAATGCCGCGAGGCCGACGAGAAAGATTGGTCAGGGACAAACTTGGCTGTCACGTAATAGTAGATCGCTCTCAAACCACATGATGTAAACAACCAGCTGCATATTCAACATGGTGGCAAAGGCGTCGGCAGTAGCTCGCGTCAGCGCAATCATGAACTACCCTCGCAGCACAACAAAGCTCACAGCCTTGAAAAGAACTCGTTCAACGGGAGTCTGGTTTGAATTATGCTGCGAACACTGGAAGTAGAAAAAGGTGCAGCAGCAGCGAGTCAGCATGCTCTAACATGTCTCGTTTTTGCACTGCCGGCTGAATCTGTGGCCGCTGCTGCATCCACTCATGTCGTTTCTTCTAGCGTCTTCCCCGAAACAACATTTGTAAAAGTGTAAACTGTTTCTTTTCAGTACTTTGCATGCATGACTAGAACTCGGTACGAATTCTAATTCTCGGGAATGAACTCTCAAGCAGCGGTGGTGGCTTGTATACGAGGGGCAGAACGAATGTGAACATCCTTGATGGGCGCGGACGTGTTCTTGAGCTGCTCTGGCGTTTTGGCTTGGATTCTCCAGTGTGGATTCCCCAGGACTGATTTTTTTCGTGTGGACTTAGCAGGGCATTTTTCTGGCTGTTCAAGCAGTAAAGTGAGTGAATTTCCAATAGGTTTTACCGTTTTTGCTCCCTTTGATGCCAGGTGTGAATGCGCCTTATTGCGCCAGCAGCATGTGTGAGGAAACTGCGGCATTTTAATGAAAGGCATATAAAGAAGGAAAGCTCATAAGAACATCATGGGCCTTTATTCAGCAAAGTAATTTACTCCTATAAAGTTCTTGTTCATCGTCATGATCAGCTTTAACTTGTTTTTGTTTATATGAATTCGGCATAATACGAATATTTTGCATGCTTTCTTCGAATTTGTACCATCGAGATTTTACTTAATTCGACAAACTGTAGTCAAGCATTGTGCCGATACCTTTTACAACAACTGCTTGTCATATGTGCAGTCTCAACGGAAAAAAGATGAGCACAAGTGAATGGTGGCCGAAGCCGCAAAATTGCGACACACGGCGCTGCATTTTTCCCAAGTACACCTATAATGAGATCGCCAAGCGCATTTCATTTTCCAAAGCAGGGGTGGTGGGGTGACTGGCAGAAAGAAGCCCATCTTGCTGTTGGCTCATCCGAAAGCCCACATTTTAAAGAAACACTTGTTCATTGCTTATCAGAGGATGTGACAATCCACAGGATATCCTTTTTTTACTTAAGTTGCGAGCAACTGTATCTTGATCGCAGTTGCCTCGCCCCCGCCCTTAAATAAGCTGCATGTTGGAGTGCTTTCTACTGGCCACCCCTCTTTCAAAATTGGCCCGAAGTGTTGAAATGCCGAAATGGAATGAAATATGTTTGCCGCTCCTGATATTGAAGAGCTCTGGAAAAATCCAGCTCCACATATCCCAATATTGCCGCTCCAGCAAACGATCACTTGTTCCATTCTTATTCTGTTGATACTAGTTTCTCAAAGTAAGTTTGGTGGACCCTCGGTGTTCCACAGACCCCTCCTCGTGATTGAGCCACTGATAAATTTTCCTTAGTTGCACGCTCGCCAAGTCACTTAGATGCAATATCTACGTGCAATCTACCTAAAGAACCTCTATTGCTCAGGCCTGAGTGTCAATAAGCACATCTCACTGCATAACCGAAACACGTTAGCTAAGAAATACATGCTGCCTGCAGCTTGTAGCCAGCCAGACTCTAAAGAAGGGTCGCGTGGTTCCAATGTCCTCTTATTGTTTGATAAGCGGGTAGTGTTTGAAGAAATTAGCTCATCGCAGAAATGTATCTCGTATTAAATTTTTATTATCAGCTGTACCATGGTCACAAAAAAAATATGGCATGAAAGCTCCTTAGCTGAGCCCCCCATGCGGTCTGGTCGTACAAACCACAACAAAACAGTTAAACAGCTTTTTAGTAATCTTAAAATACATCAGAATTCTCTTTTTTTCACATGCATTACCACTTTAACTGAGTTGCGTGAAAAAATTTGAAGTACGAAAGGAGGACACCTTGACACAGCGCACCCTAACAACTGAAACTTTATTCAAGAAAACAGGCATATATATGCAGTTAAGAGAACTCATGCGGTGAAAAAAAATGCTTAGATGAGCAGACGAATTGCAATAATGATGCACTTCTAGAAAAGCTACCTCAGCGACAAGCAACATAACCGAAGATTGCACGACACACGAATCACCAGCTTTGTTGATGAGATAGGCCTCTTCAATTTCCTGCGCTACCTTGTCACTGAATCTAGCTTTAACTACCGTATCACCAAACAAGGGTGCGCAGGCACATTCTCTACAATGCGATGATAAGTTAGAGCATAGTTGTCCCTTTAGAGAGGCTTTATGATCCATAATTCTATTTTGATACAATGCCCCGTCTGTACAAAATAGAACTTCCCACACGACAGCAGAGGGCTGTACACCAATATTACTGTGGAATAAATTAACCGAAAAAGTACTCGTTGGCACTAATACAGCAGAATCATTTGTTCAGTTTTTACATAACCTTTTGTTTGACATGCAAAGCTATAATTATGCTTGAAAGCTATTTTGGCAGTTGATTCCCGCATTCACTTTCTGCTTTTTTTATGGATAGTGTGCAATTTACCTCATGTGTTGAATTACTCTATGCACATGTTTTATCACTGTTATAATGTGTGATTAGCATTGCTAAGAATATTTACTAATTTTCCTTTGTTTGTTGATTGCAGTTTACGTTTACTCCACCAGTAATGTAGAGATTGTTGTATTTACTATTGTTGGTATTGTTTATGTTTAATGTTGTTTGCACTACTGCATGACCCCGAGTATGGCCTGAAGTATTTGTAAATAAATAAAAAATAAGGTAGTGGACATGATGTGGTCATTTGCAACATGTGCTTGTGAGCAGGTATTTCTCGACTCTATAAGCCTGTATGAAAATAAGCACAGGTATTAGCGAAATTCCACTGCCAATATCTGACTGGCCCTTGGCATAACATTGATGTTTTTTATGCAAAAAAAGTGAGTTCAGTTTCGTATCAGTGAATAATTTTTTGCATACCCTTGTTTTAAATTTTATTGTGCATGAATAGAAACGAAAAAAAAAATGGTTGCAAAAAGTGGGGGAAGGGGGGTTTCTTGGCACTTTGTGGAGCTTAAAGCTTGAAGCTTGACAGGGTTTCCTATGATCAACAAGCCTGAGAACGCCTGCTTCACATCAATGCGCCATTCTATGTGCTTCGTGGGAATAAAACTGACATCTCTGCTGTGGCACGATTGCTTGACAGTATGTCAACCACTAAAATTTATACTGTGAGCTACTGTTTACACTCCAGTGTACCTAATAAGCTGTGCCTTTCGACATGACTAATAAGCTGACTATATATGCTCCACTAGTCATTTTACTCTGGCACATCCATCCACTACATAACATTTGGCTCAGTGCAAAAAATTTGGCATGGGCTGCTACTTTTTTTACTGACTCGTACGAAATATATTCCCAGAATGAGTCTGATCTGCTCGATTTTTTAAAATCTGAGATGCCGCAATCAACCACTCGATTGATCAATCATTCATTGGCTATAATATAAACGCGTACATAAGGAAATGGGGCAGTAAATAAACCACTATATTTGCAGTTTCCGGGCTTCTTTTCCGCTGGCATGGTGCGGCATGGTGGACCTACAAGGGAGCAGGTTGGTACCATTATGGCAGTTTTTGTGACTGCTTGTCACGAGTATCAGCTAGGGGTGGAGAACTATCGATAGCACTATCAATTCTATCGACAGTTCATTGACTATTGAACTATCGAAAGGGGACATAATCTGCATTTTTCACCAAAATATTCTTTATAAGTAAACTGAGTATTGTTGGTGGTAGGCTATCGTTAGAATTTGTTTGGCAATGTCACCGACGAACAACGGTGTGATCATTCACTGCACTGTCAACAGTATCACCTGCAATAATGCTATCATACTGTATAATCGATATAGCCCTGCCACTGTCAATAGTTAGAAAGAAACTATCAAAGCTATCGTAGTACATTTTTTATAGTTCTGCATCACTTGTGCGAGCACCTCTGAGTGCGTGCATCATATACCACGAGGCTGAGACGCATGGCTGAGGTGTGACCCAGACACAAGTCACAACAGTCTGGCCAGACTTTGGAAAGTCTCAAGCTCCAGTCATCGCCAGAGGGGGCAAAAAAAAAAAAAAAGACCCGCCACTGCTAAAGAAAAAACATAGTGCCTCTCTTCGAATCTCGCCTTGGTGAACGGCAAGACTTCCACTGCAGGCACCGTCGAAAGTGCTGTACTTGAAGAAAAAAGGACCAATCTTTTCTAAAAAAAACTTGCTTTCCTACACAAGTGAAACTTATGAGCACTAAATTTTTTGTTTAGCGACCATGGTACTGCTCGGCCAAGCAACTTCTACTCTAGATTCTCTTATTAATGATGAAGCGGAAATTCTGTACCGCTTCTGTTCGGCGGGAGCAGCTGACACGCAGATGCGCCGTTCATATTTATCTGATTGTTGGGGTGGTCCGGGGCGTTCTTTTCGTGGTCTCCTTCTCCTCTCATGGCTCATACCCGATGCAGGGGATTGGCCAAGTATTAGATGATTTTTTTGAGTATTTTTTAGCAATACTTCTCGATAAGTGAGGAACAGCTAATATAACAAGCTTAAGTACTGAGTATTAGTATTGAAATATTTAAAGGATCAAGCATTTAGCTCGATATTTTTTTAGGCGCTCGGTTTTCTTCCTTGCATTTTTTTTAATTTGCTCATGTAAATCATTATGTTTTTTGTAGGAAGTCGCTGTACTGCTCTATGGGTGCCACAGAAACTGTCACACCAGCAAAAGCATCAATTTCTGTAGGTTCAATGTGATGACAGGTAGACTCGCTTTACAACTGCACACATATTTATTTTTTGTTGGTGATTTCACCCTGAGGCCTTGTTGCCACTGCCAGTGTTGTGTATTCAAGTACAACAGACATTTGCACTGATCCTACACCTGTTCGAATGCTTGCACTTCTCACAATTCACTTCAACATGATTTTTTTGCAAGATTTCCTTGCACCCTCAGCTTGACTGCAGTACGTTGTAATGCAATAAAACCTGGGCGTGTTAAGCTGAGCTCACTGAAAGCAAGTTCTGAAATTTCAAGCTCTCACTGAAGCTGCTTATGCTGTTGTTTTTAAACTGTCTTGTAATAATGGTGCAAACAAGCGAGACACGCTTTTCAGTTCTTTTTGCCTCTGAAGGCAAAGGCTGGCCGTTTGCCATTTCTCAATAATGGTTCTAACATATAAATTTATTTTTTTGCTTTGAAACAGAATTGACGGTTTCCTGTCAATGAAGAATATTGGTCTTCATACTCACTCGGGAATTGTATGTACTGGTACTAGTTGCCAATGTATGCTTTTTGGTTTTGTATGTAACCTATGTACACACAAGTACTGAGAGGCGGAGTGCGCTTTAGCATGCTGCTGGGCATATCAACGTGCTAAAAACAAGCAGGTGAAAGGTAACGAGACACTTCTAGCCTCTTGTGTCCTCTTCTGTTCAGACAGGATAGCTATAGAATAAAGAACCAGCTGAGGCACTCGCATTTACGCATACGCACGGTGTACAGAATAAAAAGGGCGGCTATTTTCTTTTTCTGCCTATAAAAAACACTTTTTTTTTTGCTTTCCGCTTCTTGTTCATGCAGTGTGACATCTCTTGGGTGCCTTTGGTAGTTCCATGCACTACCACTGCTTATGTTTCGTATCATTGTTAAAGCTACAGTTTACTTCTCTAAACTGGTTCTTTATGCTGTGAGCTAGCATTGTTGAAATTAGGTCCGTTGGATTCACCTGCACCACATGAACCTGTTCACAAGGTGCTGCGCCTTGCCATTCGTTTCAGAGGCGCAGCATTGACACCTCTGAACCCTGCCATTCGTTCCAAAAGGTGCAGAGGAAGTGCATGCACCGGTTTTGCTGCACTGCTAATGCGGTGTGTTTTGCCAAGATGTTTGCGCCTCATAAACTGTCCTCCGCACGTCTGTTTTGTAATCGGTCAATGTTGATTGAACAGTGTGAATTAAGGGAACACAAAAAATGCCTACACCTTGTCGGCACATCGTCATTCGTTTAGTGTGTCACACTGTGCTGGCACCGCTGAACTCGCGCTGCAGAATTTCTGAACTTCACGTGCACAGCCTTGAACCGGTTGCGATTAGTGCTGGTGAATCGAACGGACCTATAGACTTGCCAGGAGAAGGTATGTATGTATGTATGTATGTAGGAGAAGGTTCTATGTAGGAGAAGGTTCTATGTAGGAGAAGGTTGTATGTAGGAGAAGGTTGTATGTATGGAGAAGGCTGTATGTAGGAGAAAGTTGTCTTGCCAGCAAGTGCACTGGCGACTGGAGCGGTAGAACTTCGACTCAAAAGACTGTGGCCGAGAGGTGGCCGAAAAACCTCTACCCGATTTGAATGAAGCTGCTTAGGGTGCAGGAACCACGTATAGCTATCTTCGTGATCCCTGGCACTAGCCTCTTTTCAAGCAAGCTGCAAAAGACAATCCTTACTGGGCCACGTTGGCTTGCAGCACAGGGTATCACCTGTTGCGTTAGGCCTAACCTCAGAGGCCTCCACCACGTCATGTGACGACGACAGACAACTTCATCAACGGCAGAGATGGCGACATTCTTCAAGAGCTTCTAGAAAAGCGACAGAAACAACATGACGGATATCAGACTTTGAGCCAAAAACATCAGCAAATAAGACCAAACCTCCTGTTCGAGGGTATCAAGGCCACCGTGAGACCTAGGACAGGAATCGCTTATCAGAAAAAAAATTTAACAAGATGATATAGTTTTGAGATGTAGTTACTTAAATGCTTTGTGTTGGGGCTTTCATGAATTTTTTCCAAGATTACCTGTACTTTTGTACAGTCTTTCAGAATGTAGTGTGTTACGTCATCAAACGCATCCAGTCTCAGTCCTTCATCCACAATCACCCCAAGCCCATGACAATTGATGAACCTGCCAAGATTCAATCCTGCCCAGTCACTGATTCTCGTGTATTGCAAAGATGGATTGGGACAAGATGTTAAGGGTCATTATGGAGCAAAAGCTCAATAAAGAGGAAGGTCTCAAGTTAACTGAAGAGGAGAGAGTGCATTTGGGAAATGTAGCCGACTTCCGACTTGTTATTTCTTGCCTTGTGTCCACCCTTTCATTTATTGGTCATCACAAAACACTCTCGGGACCACATCACCAAACACTACACTGAACTTCACACAATGTCCATTATGGTCGAAAGCGAGACGAAAATAAGAAAAGAGCGGAATGCCAAACTAGAGGCTTAGCTTGAAGCATTAAGCACCAAAGCACAAGAAGAGCATGTAGGGTAAAAGCAGACACTAGAATGCCGACTGAAATCGCCACAAGCCAAGACTGCATATGAGAGAGAAGGAGAAGCTCAGGTGTTACAGATATTTGTAACACAGCAGCGTTTATCGAGGTGGATGCAGATGACGTAGAACATGGCACTCGGCAAGAACGCGATGCAGCTAGGCAACAAAGACTGACTTCAGCTTTTTCTGATAAACATACCTCTTGATGGGACAAGCACTGAGCATTCACAAGATATGGTACCAGAGGATGCGAGAATGAATGGCATGTCTTAAGATAGAGGATGATAAAAGCCTCAAAATATAGGGAATATACACAGCCCCAAAAGGACAGAAAAGTGGTTGTGATTATTGGAATGCAGGGAGGGTCATAAAAGTGGGCAGTGGTGGATACATAAGACAAAAGGAAAAGAGCACTCTGAAAGTGCTAGGCCAAGAAATTATCGATGCAGCTGAAGGTAGAACACCACGTAGGAAAGTTTTTCAAAAGAGGCATCGGGTGATGATGAGAGTAAGTTGCGTCTTAGATGACTGGTGATGAGCAGATCTTGCAAGAAAATACTAAACATGTGCAACTTGAAAAAGCACAGGTTCAAAGTGTGGGGAAGTAAACTGCCAGCTCCTCTAGTGGTACAAATAGTTTGTGAAGTAAAATATGTTGTAAGTGGACAAATGCATGCACTTATCCTGAATGAAGTTTTGTAGAACATGAACATGTGAACATTGTGGAAGAGTGAGGGCTGTGGACTGTATGTAGTGTGGACTGTATGTAGTTTTTATGCATGTAGCCATGCAAATTTACAGACCATAATGGACATTGTGTGAAGTTCAGCGTAGTGTTTGGTGATGTGGTCACGAGAGTGTTTTGTGATTACCAATAAATGAAAGGGTGGACACAAGGCAATAAATAACAAGTCGGAAGTTAGGAATCAAGATTGTGGAAAGCTGAAGGTGATGGCGGGAAGTTTTTTTAGAAAAAAGCTCTCGAAGAGGGGGGCGTATGTCACAAGTAAAAGTCCCCTTGAAGCAAAAAAAAATAACGAAATGGTCGAAACAGCGTGAGCGCGCACCGTATACCATGAGGCACAGGGTGTGTGGCCCATGGTGCGATCAGAACGCGAGTGACGACAAGCTGGCATTATTGATGTGAACTTGTGAGGAGAAGGTTGTTCCACCAGCAAATGCACTGGTGGCGAGAATGACAGGAGTTAGAGTGGCAGCTTGTGATGCAGGCTTCCCCAGAGGTGGCTAGAAACATAGACCCGGTTAGCACCAGGTATTATCAAATGCCACTAGGCCTAAGCTCAGATGCCTCTGCCACGGGGACCACGGCAGGCGATGACAACGACAGACGACGACTTGGCAGAAACAGCAACATATGAGAACGTGAAAACTTTCAACAAGGACAGAATGCAACCAATTTCGGACATTGACGAAGCAGCGAATCAGTTGAGTCAAGTAAGGTCGGAGTGAATAGTGAAGCTAAAGTTGCTTGACTCTAACTAGGACAGTCTAGTTAGTAGTGTGATTTGTGTGTTTGAGCTGTAGTTAGTATTACGATATTTACTCGTGCAATGAGCGCACTTGTATAATAAATGCACCCTCAACTTCAGTCGGTAAAATTTGGATTTGTTTTTTCTTCGCATAATAAACACACCCCCTACATTCATTCGCTGCAGTCCCGCTAACCGACACATGGCGCCTCCTTGCCGGTTGGATCTCTTTCATTTTTTTATTATTATGCCGGCCCCCCTCGACTCATTTCCTCTCCCCTTCACCTGCTGCCGCGCGCCATATTGTTTTTCTTTCCATTTTGTGCACGGCACATCCCCAGTCTTTTGAATTGTCCATGCGCCACAGCAGAGTTCACGAATGTTGTGAGTGTAGAGACATCTCTGCTGATAAGCACACAGCGAGCGAAGGTCACGAAACTGCCCGCACCAACCAACGGTCACCTCCTGCAAATACGAAACTTTGGACCCAATTACATGCACACAATTTTCGAGTGACGACGACTGAATTTGCTGTTGCTATGGCGGTTGCGAAGGGCCATTGGTTGCCCTCAAATCGCAAGTTTTTGGAAAACCAGAAAAAAAAATCGCTTGTCACACAGAAAAGATCGCAACTATTTTAACACCCTCGATTCCCGCCTCAGTTGCAATTTGCTTTTCGTGCTTGTTATCTGCGCGTACTTCAAGGAACGGAAGATATAGGCTACTTTTTCTGCAGTAAACTTCTCGTGGGGACTGCGAGGTAGTGGCTGTATTTTGTCGTTAATCTTGTTATCGACCATTCGTTTAGATGCATCAGTGATAGCTTGCTGTAATGTTGGTTACTTGATAAAATGTCAACTGCGTCATCGCAGTTGTCGTGTGAGGTTGCCGTGAAGTTGGCAAAGGCATCGTAGTGCGCACTTCTGGGCGCCCCTCGAGATCACAGCAGATACCACTGTAGCGGTTAGGGAATTGGGAGAATGATAGCAGTGAAACGCGTTTATGGTGCGTGCGGGTGGTGCGGGGACAGCTCACAGAAAAAAGTGCCATCAACCACCGAAGATGAGTGAAGTGCAACAAAAAAAGCTGTTTCCAAACAGTGTACACATATGTCACTTGCGAAGGCTAAGGGACCTAACTTTTTTGGCATTACTGCATTTTTTGGTCATCCCGAAAAAGTTAAAAAAAATTTTTTTCCCGTATAGTAAATGCACCCCCAACTTTTTTTTTCAGATTTTTGAAAAGAAAAGTGCATTTATTACACGAGTAAATACAGTATTATTTGTTGTGTATTCGAGAATGCTGTGCTTTGTTTATTGCAATTGTTTTGTGTTACCAACTCTTCATCTCATTCTAACTTCTGTAGCCAGGCCGCAGTCGTCTTGTAATTATGGTACTCAACTGCTAGCCCAAAAATCACAGGATCGAATTCTGGCTGTGGTGGCTGCATTTTAGATGAAGGCGAAAATTTTAGGCCCGTGTACTCAGATGTAGGTGCGCAACCTCAGGTGGTCACAATTTCTGGAGCCGTCCTACTGCGGCAACTCTTGTAATCATATCATGGTTTTAGGAGGTGAAACTTGAGATAATATTATTATTATTCTATCACTCGTAACCACATGAATCCATGACACAGTTTTTATACTATTTCTTCAATGCAATGTAATAGCATAAGGCTCGATAGGGAAAGGTAACCTGACGTTCTTATGCTGCAGTTTCAGAAACTGTCTACACTTCACCCTATATTGAAGAATATTATGTGAGTGTGGTGTCCCTGCAGTACATTTGAACCTGATTACATTTTCTGACAAAACAGAACTTAATGAAATAGTAAATAGAATAGTTGCTTTATCTGCATTGATCACATACATGATTATGGAGACCAGTGGCAAGAGCAACTGACCTAGACAACACAATATGGTGATTTTAGAGCTACAAAATACCTACACTTGTGAGAGACAGACAACAAACAGGCACTGTCACGTCTGTCTGTATCTGTCTTTCATAACTGTTCCTCTTTTGTAACCCTAAAGTCACCATAATATATAATCACCTACACATCTAACAGCAAGTTCTTATTGACATAGACAACTTAACGAGGACCCGGTCCTCCTGAAACAGCAAGTTGACAGCCCAATTATTCCATGTACATAAAGGAGAGTTATGGTACACAAAGTTTCTAACAATGATGAGGTGGATATGAGAACTACCGCATATCTCACTGACTTTTCCTTTACATGAGCCTTTCATGACATGACCAAAGTGTTCTTTGTCCCGGTGGTTACTCAAGAGAGTGAACTCCGATTCCAGGCCCTGGGTTGCTCATTCATAATGACCATGTGTGGCCGTGGTTGGAGAGAGAAGCTGGCTGAAAACAGTGACCGTCATGCGGGACCAATGGATCGTTCTGTCACCGTTCGGCTCACAGGACCAGGTTGGTGGTGGCTATTTATGAATTTTCAATCAGCTTATCTAAAACTTCAAGGTTTTACTTTGGTCTAGCATTATAGTTAGCATAAATAGTAGCAGTTAAAATTACTAATCGGAACTCGCCAGGCATACTATGACGGTAAATGCTGTATGAAGAACAGAAGCGGACAAGGTGAGGTCAGGAACTTCGGGGCCGCTGGCAAAATCCTGAATTCGGTTTTTGTAATGCTAGCTTTCTGTGTTCTGTGACTGAGATATACGACCAGCAGTGTACTTAACGTGCTTGATCCTGTTACGAGTGTGCTGGTGTCCCTTGCATAAACACCGAGTGCGTCCGTCACAAACACTGAGTGCGTACACCAGAAACACTGGACACGTCCTTCACATACATCGGAGGCGTCCGTCAGAAATGCTGTGCACGTCTAACAGTGGAGGTGCACCCTCCTCCTTGAGCGTCTCAGCCCCTAATAAAAGGCCGACGCATCTAGCATTAGGCTGCTTCCACGTCCGTGTTTTGTACGTACGTTGTAAATATAAACGTTTTGTTTCCTCTGGGTGCCTTTTGCCTTGCCACTGCCCCACGTTGGCCCTCGCGACACACTACCGAAGAGACCGTTTGGGACTCCTAGTAACAGTGCCCATGCATTACAAGCCCCATTAAGCAGAGAATGAGCGTACTATAATTGTGCATCCTTGGAAGGGCCCGTAACATAAATAAACACAAGGATATGGTTGTGTAGGGCTGGAACACGGCGAAGCCTGCAGCTGGTCGACGGAGAAGCATAGCGACTTGAGAGTGACGACATGCAGACGAATTTCGGCACGGCTGACGAGAGGATGTTCTGCTCGGTTTGTTTTGGCGGTTTTTTAAAGGATTGTGAACAAGGTGATTGGCCAGTGATACACTGATCACATGAACGACATCTACACACAGGGTTGGTTGCCGAGACGGCCCTGGTTAGGGAGCCTTCATACACACACGCCTCCCACCCAGTTTTAGGGTGGGGAAATATGTAACAGTGCAGTCACAAGTAGCCGCCAGGTTTGGTGGACAAACCAGTTGCCATTTATAGTCGCCACTAAATTTGGCCCCCGCAGGGGCATTGCGCAAGCAGGCGTTTGGTGTGTAGCGACACCACTGGACACGAGCTAACGGGGAGTCGCAACCTCTTCCACACCTAGCCCTGCGTGGCTGAGCCGTTTCCGGGGAAAAGGGGATCCTGGGTGTCGAGCCGACACCGACTGTTTGGACCTCTAAGGCCCCCCGGCTGAGGCAACACACCTCTTTGGCCTCGGCTTCAGGCAGACGGCACCCCTAGGCTGACCCACCCAGGGGAAATTCGTCATTCGCCTTTTCCTTTCCCTCTCTCCCCCTACATCTTCGTCTTCCTTGCTCACTTTTATCTTTCTCGTCTACCCCTCCCTTCTATATACTTCCTTATTTTCTGGTGGCAAGGGGTATGGCTAACCACCCTGAGTTAAGCCATATTTGGTTATAGTCACGGTATACAGCTGGTGTGGGCAGGTCTTGCTCGTGAGTCTTTGTCCCGTCCCCCCGTTGGGCTCCGTGGTGGGTGGCTGCTATCATGGCTGAAATACATGCAAATTGTATGGACACTTGGCCGTCACTTGATCGCCACCCTCAAAAGAGGACGCGCACTGACGTCACAGCAAAGTTCTTCACGAACAACAAAAGCACCTTCTCTAGATTCCATGTAATCCATAGCAAGCACTCGGAAAAAACAGCAAGACATACTATTTCTCCCTTCAAAGTCTCTAAAACAGCTGACACTTAGGGCATGGATGTAAAATCAAGAATCTGGCAAACGGGGACCTTCATTTAGAAGTGCTCTACCAGCAACAGTGTAAGAATCTTAAAAAAAACACAGCCTTCGAAGACATTCCAGTATCCATCACCCCTCATCAATTACTAAACACTGTTTGAGGTGTCATTTCTGACGATGACCTGAAATATGTGACTGAAGAAGTACTCCAAAGCGGACTGAAAGACCAAAACGTCGCAAATGTATACAGAATGAAAATCAAACGGGAAAACAAAGAAATTGAAACAAAGCACCTCGTCCTCACATTCGCATCGAGCATACTACTAGAAGCTGTGGAGGTTGGCGACACCAAACTCAAATTACGTTCATACATGCTGAATCTGCAATGCTGCTTTAACTGTCAATCGATATGGTCATGGCTCACAGAGCTGTAGGGGCCAAGCCACATGTGCTAAGTGTGGCTCGGATGAACACACTTCTGAAAACTGCAAAGTTGAACCACTACTACTGAGTGTACTGCGTGAGAGGTTTTGAAATGGCAAGCGCCACAGCCATGCTCTTCGGGTGAACAGACACAACAGACGCGGTCAGCACAAACCAAAACAACAACATACATTTATTTAACTAATTTTAGAACGATGATATCGCCCGCCGAGTTATTATAACATAAATCGGGATCAACCTTCTAGGACATCCTTACACAATATTGTTGGGACGTCAAAACAGAGGTCTTGCTGCAGAGATTGAGACACCAGAGGCAGGTTGGACTTTTAACAGAACGTGCAAACGAGTTCTTCGTTTTTGTCTATTTTATAGTTCTTCATGGCACATGCACAACTGCCATCGTCTTTCTTGAGAGAGCACGTGACAATTGCCTCCCTCCGAAAGAGGCATAGTCCCGATGCGCAACTTAGGTGCTCTACTAGGCGTATGAAGTGGTCGCACCAAAACGGTAACTGGGAGCTTACTCGATAAATACGGTTTCATACGCACAGCGTGCACGACTTCGGGTAAATGTTATCATCTTTCTTGAGAGAGCATGTGACGTTTGCCTCCCTCCGAAAGAGGCATAGTCCCGATGTGCAACTTAGGTGCTCTACCAGGCGTATCAAGTGGTCGCACCAAAACGGTAACCGGGAGCTAATTAACTCGATAAATACGGTTTCATACGCACGACGTGATGACTTCGGGTAAATGCTTTTGGCGCTTAGAACTATAGTCACTGTCCAAAACAACAACGTAGTTCACGTTGCTCAAGCGTTGCGTGATGCCGTGTGGGCCAAAGTATCGTCTTAGCAGTTTTTCAGACAGTCCACGTTGACGTATAGGAATCCAGACCCAGACCTTGTCGCCTGGTTTGAAGCTAATAAACTTGTGTCGGGGGTCGCAACGTTGTGCATCTTGATGCTGCTGATGCCAATTGCTTGCGCGTGAGCTGTCTGGCTTCCTTGGCGCGCTGAGTGAATTCTTCGGCGTCTACATGGATGTCGTCACACTCATGCAGCAACATGGCTGTCCAACGCTGTCGTGACTTCGGAACGATAGATCAGACAGAACGGTGTCATTCCAGTGGTTTCTTGTCAAGCAGTATTGGCAAAGGTCACAGTACCGCAATATCTGATCCCCGTTTAATGTTTCGTGTCAACGTACATACTGATCATGTCTGTGAGGGTCTTATTGAGGCGCTCCGTCAGTCCGTTTGTCTGCAGATAGTATGCAGTTGTTCTCCGGTGAGCTGTACCGCTGAGTCTGAGAACCGACTTCTAAAAGCTCTGGGATGACGGCAGGTCCTCTGTCTGTGATCACTACTGTCGGAGCGCCATGCCGAAGGATGATGTTTTCGATGAAGGACTGAGCAGATTCTGCTGCTGTGCAGCACTGCATAGCTTTAGTCTCCGCATAACGGGAGAGGTAATCGGTGGCCACAATAATCCATCTGTTCCCTGTTGTGGAATTCGGAAAGGGACCCAGGCAATCCATTCCAATCTGGTTGAAAGGCTTTTCTGGTGCTTCGACTGGATGTAAAAGATCGGCTGGCTTGCTGGGAAGCGCTTTGCGTCTTTGGCAGTCGGTGCAAGTTCGCACGTGATGGTTAAGAGCAGCAGGTAACTTTGGCCGGTAGTACTTGCATGGCAGTTGGCACAATGTTCGGGTGTAACCTAGATGACCAGAAGTTGCATCATGGCACGCTTCTATAATTTCTTTTCGAAGAGAGGCAGGCGCGACGAGCAAGTGCGGGTTACCAGTTGGTGAGAAGTTTTTCGTATAGAGAACATTATTTCGCAAGCAAAAAGATGGCAGCCCTCTAGCAAATAACTGCGGTACGTCCTTACGTCGTCCTTCTAAATATTCAATTAGTCGTAACAGCTCAGGGTCACTGCGCTGCTCTCGTGCAATAGTGGCCGTATTGCCAACTCTCAAGAATGCCACGTCGATGTTTTTTGTCATCAGGATCGACAGTTTTTACTGGAGACCGAGAGAGACGGTCGGCGTCGGTGTGCCTCTTCCCAGATTTATAGACGATGGTCATGTTGAACTCTTGAAGTATTGCGCTCCAGCACGCCAAACGGCCAGGTGGATCTCTAAGGTTGGTGAGCCAGCACAAAGAGTGATGGTCGCTAACAACCTTGAAGAAGCGGCCGTACAAATCTAAACACGAACAAACCTATTGTTGTCCAGATAGGCCACCGAGCTCAAGCACTGTCTTCAGGAGCGCGGCCGTGAAAGCAGTACCTCGATTCGTTATTATGATTGTCGGAGCGCCGTGCCTCAGGACGATATTTTCTATGAAGAATCGTGCAGTTTCAACGGCGGTGCCAGCCTTTGTTTCCTTCGTTTCGTGTAGTGCGTAAGGCAATCAGTGGCAACTATTACCCACTTGTTGCCAGCATGGGAAGTCGAATATGATCCGAGAAAATCCATTCCAACTTGGGCAAAAAGTATCGTGTGCACTTGAATTTTTTGTAATAGTCCAGCTGGTTTTGACGGTAACGATTTTCATCATTGGCAATCGAGGCACGTGCACACGTAATTTTTCACAATAGCTGGAAGTCTTGGCCAGTAGTATTTTTGTTGGATTCTGGCTAATTTGCATGTCAATCCGAGATGACCAGACGTTGGGTCATCGTGGCAAGCACTAAGTATCTCCTCACGGATTGACGACAAGTAGGTGGGTGCTTCCTCTGGCAGAAAAGTTCTTCTTGTAGAGGACACCACTACG